GTTTTCTGGGGGGGAGACGCGATTTTGGCATATGTATCAGAGGCCTTGAAAAAAATGTCTATGATCTGATCTAGCAAAGTTTGTTGATAGGAATTGTCACAAGGAATAGACTAGTGAGCAAGGAATGTATGTCCAAGTTCATTGCAGCAGTATGTGTAGTAGCAAAATATCCATTGTTATAGGTAGATCTGTGATCTGTTAGGTGGAAATAAAACTTCTGAAAACTAACCTTTCCTTCCAGCCTTCCAGTCACAACATTAGTTCTTCTGCAAAGTAGATACTTCTGCCCACTAGGGGAAAGGTCAGGAAGTGCTGGAAAGAAAGAAAACAACAGTGATTAATATTTCAAGGTTTTCTTAACTTCTGTGTAATTGTTGGGAAAGCACAGAAAATAGAGATAACTGGGGGTGTGGCCTCCCTGGGAATTTCTCTGGATGTTATCTTATCTCTTTGTCTTAAAGGTTTGTCTCTTTATTAAAAAAAAATTTTTTTTTCAACGTTTATTTATTTTTGGGACAGAGAGAGACAGAGCATGAACGGGGGAGGGGCAGAGAGAGAGGGAGACACAGAATCGGAAACAGGCTCCAGGCTCCCAGCCATCAGCCCAGAGCCCGACGCGGGGCTCGAACTCCCGGACCGCGAGATCGTGACCTGGCTGAAGTCGGACGCTCAACCGACTGCGCCACCCAGGCGCCCCATTGTCTCTTTATTTTTAAGGCATCTCTGTACCCAACATGGGGCTCTAACTTAAACCCCTGAAATCAAGAGTCACAGGCTCCACCGACTGAGCCAGCCAGACGCCCTGGAGGATGTTAAATTAGGAAGCCAAAGAATTCCTGCGAAGCTTTGAGGGGGTGGGAGAGGTAGGGGTGAGGGTGGGGTTGGAGGGGGACAGGGGCGGCCACTGTGGCTCTCTTGCTTTCTCCATGTGCTCAGTGTCCCTAGAAAATGCCACGCTTGGCACTGGGGCCTTCCTTTTCCTCCCTGAAGCCCTTTCCAAGTCCCGGGAGAGCCAGGAAACCAGTGGCTGGGACAGCAGCTGTTTTAAGCAAGACGGAGTCTGTTAGCGGACTCCCCTGCCATCTCCTGCTAGATGCGAGGTGGGCATACTGAGCAGTGGTTAAGAACTGCTATACGTTAAGACTGGGCCTGTCTCCAGTGTTTCTCTGATTCACGGATTAAAGTGGAATTTTCCAGGAAGGCTTGATCTAGAAGGAATCCTTCTCTTGGGTCTACAAGTTCTCTTTGTGCAGCAGGAAAATCCTACCCCGTGACCATCTGCGGGCAGGGTCGGCTCACTCCGCCGACCGTTTCCTGAACGAAAGAGAGGAAACACCGTCCTGAGCAGAAAGGATCCCCCAGGCACAGTGTGGTTTTCACACTGTGACAAAAGTCAGAGCCACAGGCTTATTGATAAAATGTGTATCGGGCTTGGAGTTTTCAATTTTTATTAAATTTATTTGATTAAATAAGAACCTAAAAGGAATTTTGGAGTATAATTACCCTGAGCGAGTCACTTAGTCTCTGTGTCTGGTTTGTTTGTTTTTTTTTAATCTGGGAAATAAAGGGTTGTAAAATTTTTTTATAGCCATCCTCGCATTAATGCTATTCTTTTTTTAGAAATATTCTAAAGTGTCAAATACGTATATAGGGTGTTCTAGACAAAATTTTTCCATTAAAAAAAAAAAGCTCCAGGAGCGCCTGGGTGGCTCAGTTGGTTGAGCATCTGTCTTTGACTCAGGTCATGATCTCACGGCTCGGAAGTTCGAGCCCCACGTCGGAGTCTGCAGTGACAGCAAGAAGCTTGCTTTTTGGGTTCTGTCTCCACCCCCCCCGCACCTCCCCCACTTGCTCCCTTTTGCTCTCTTTCAAAAATAAACATTAAAAAAAAAAAGCCAGCTGACAAAATTTAGCCGTTGGAGTATTCATATCTTGCTTGTTTTCTAGATAGTGGTGAGTGTATTTCTTAAAGGTTAGACTAACCTGACTGGCTTCTTGAGTGCCTGGCAATAGGATTTACAATTACATTTCAGAATGCTTAATCCCTAAAATGTGGTCACTGGGACACAATACTAAGACTTGAAGGTCAGAACCCAGGAAGGATATAAAGGACTCTCCATTACTGAGGGACGGAGTAGCAGATCTTGAAGAGAACCCTGGGAGCGGGAACATTGGCCGCAAGATTTGTCGGAACTCTTGAGAAACCAAGACTTTCCCAACTGTGGGGAACGAGCAAGCTCGGCCCCCAGTGGCAGCCGTCATGTTCATTTCCCAGCCCCTCCCTTCAGGGTTATTTCTGTAAACAGGCAACCACTGTGGTTGGAGCAGGAATGGGAGGGATTCAGGGAAGGATGCTTTGGTGTCTTTGAAGTGAATACCTCAACTTGCTGAAAGGGAGGTCATTATTTATTTGGTTTGACTTGTTCTTCCTATTCAGCCAAACCCGCCAGGAGGACCTACTACTCACTTTCTTCATGTCACTCAGAGTCAAAACACTGGGGATGAAAACCTAGATCTCCACTTGCAGAGGTTGATTGACCTCTTCTGTCTGCCATACCACCAGTGTGCCTTGAGTGGCCAGATCTGAATATACCAGAGGGCAGCCCATACGTATTTAGACGGCACATGGTCACAGGCATCACGAGCTGTGACATCAGTAGACGGTAGCAGTAACATCTACGCTCATAGGTCCCGTGCCGTTGATGGGGACCTACTGGTCCAGTTTTGGATGCGAGGGAGTCAGTAGCTTCTTCCTCCTGCACCCGCACACCAATATTTCTTCCCTTATTCCAGAGCACCCTGAAGAAAAACACCACCTTATGCTCATTCTTAACCTAGACTTACCTCAGTTCAGACACCGAGAGGATTTTTATTTCCCATCCTATCGCTTCCTCACAAGACTCCACTCATGCTTTCTTCATCCCAATCTTGGGCCTTTTGCATTAATGGGCCTATAGGAATCACTTTGTATCATCCCCATGAAATATTTTCCTGTCTTTATTGCTGACTCCAGGGCTCATTCTACTTTCTGGCTTTGATGATTTTTCTACTAACATTGTCAAAAAAATTTTTTAAAAGTTCTGTCCCCTAGAAACTTAGAGCCATATTATGACAACTCTTTTAACGCATTAAAAAAAAATTTTTTTTTTAATGTTTATTTTTGAGAGAGACAGAGACCGAATGCGAGCGGGTTAGGGGCAGAGAGAGGGGAAGACACAGAATCCGAAGCAGGCTCCAGGCTCTGAGCGGTCAGCACAGAGCCCGACGCGGGGCTCGAACTCACAAGCTGTGAGATCATGACCTGAGATGAAGTCAGACGCTCAGCCGACGGAGCCACCCAGGCGCCCCTCTTTTAATGCGTTTGATAGGAGTAGCCGGTAAAATGTTGAAGACACCCAACCATCATTGTCACCAAAACAATATACACCTCTAGACTGCACATTAATTATATTTTGTCTGGAGGGAGTTTACAATCTAACATACAACTACTGTATTGACAACAATGTATTTAGCCTACCAAGTTAGTGCCAAATATTCAGGATTAAATATTCTCACCGGGGCACTGGGTGTAGGAATAGTAGGGTGGAATTCTATCTCTACACACAGTTCATACATGTGCATGTCAACTGAAGAGTTTCTTAAACTAAGATTACCTAGTGAGAACAGTAAAAATTTAGTCTCTAAAAATAATATCCATCACCGGGGCGCCTGGGTGGCGCAGTCGGTTAAGCGTCCGACTTCAGCCAGGTCACGATCTCGCGGTCCGTGAGTTCGAGCCCCGCATCGGGCTCTGGGCTGATGGCTCAGAGCCTGGAGCCTGTTTCCAATTCTGTGTCTCCCTCTCTCTCTGCCCCTCGCCCGTTCATGCTCTGTCTCTCTCTGTCCCAAAAATAAATAAACGTTGAAAAAAAAAATTAAAAAAAAAATATCCATCACCAATTTAGAGAAATGGCAAAACCCCTTTTTATTAACACTCAAGTTTCAGGGTATAGATTCTGGTATAATAGTTGTGTCTCTTGTGATTCACGTTCTTCCCTTTCAGTTCGATTGAGCCCCATTAAAACCAGGTTACAATGAACTGATATCTTTTATTTTATTCCATCCTGTGAGATCAATGTGTCCAAGCAGACATCTGCATAATTTAAGGTAAGTTAGCTTTTCAGTAAGCCCACAGCTACCTCCTCTGAGTGGGTAGGAGCTACATGAACCCATCTCTCAGAGATATGGTTAGCATTACATATTTATTTGCTTGTAATTTGAATAGGATATATGATTTAAGCACACTGTAAATTAATTTAAATAGGCCAGTTGTTAGAATAGGATTTTCTCAGATTATCAAATTTATGTTTGCCACCTGCAGGTGCCTGGAATTATTGACTGGCTCTGAGGATCACACGTAGGCATTTATTCCAAGGCTTCTGTTCACTTTAAGAAACGATACACAATTCTGCATTCTTGGTCCTCCTGCAGGCTTTTCATCATGTAGCATGGAAAATCATGTAGAAGAGAAACTCACAGACCAAAAAAGCATAGCAAAGATTTTTTCTCTTTTTAAATATCAGGAAGGGAGAGGGGAAATTCCTGAATGTAAATGGCAGGGTCTAAAAGTCAGAGTAGAGTTTCCAAGGTCTATTTATAGTGGTGTAATCCTATCATGGGAATTCGAGACTGTGTACTTGTCGCAAGTGGCTGAAAAAATGAAAAGAAAGCAAAATGTTTTTCCCACGTGGAAGACTGGAAGGTAAATCTGAGAAATAAATATACCTTAATTTTTCTCAGGATCCAATTAGTCACCCATTTCACTCTCCATTCTGACAGTTGTTTATCGATTTAATAATATTAGACAACCTGGGAGCTACTCACCCTGATATCTGCCAAGTGCACGCTTAATTTTTGCCTGATAATCTATTTTGAATTCATTTCCATGAATTTATGTTTTTTTGTGGGTTTTTTTTTTTTTTTTTTTTGGTGGCCATGATGGCACCATCAGATGGTTACTGTCATTTTTAAATAAGACGACATCGGGGCGCCTGGGTGGCTCAGTAGGTTGAGCGTCCGACTTCGGCTCAGGTCATGATCTCACGGTCTGTGAGTTCGAGCCCCGCATCGGGCTCTGTGCTGACAGCTCAGAGCTTGGAGCCTGCTTCCGATTCTGTGTCTCCCTCTCTCTCTGACCCTCCCCGTTCATGCTCTGTCTCTGTCTCAAAAATAAATAAACATTAAAAAAAAAAATAAGACATCCAGAAAGAGTCTGAAGGAGTGTACTCACGTAGCCAGATGTATATAAAGGGGCAGGTGACAGTCGCAAAACTAGGTTGTTTTCATTTCTCCCCCTTCAAGCTAACAAGCTCCATCTACTCTCTCCCCGTTGCGAAGAAGGGTTTCTGCCCCCTCTGGGCTGCCTCTATGCATAAGGCAGTGCGGGGTTGGTTGGCTCTTGAGACAAACAGAGGCATAGCTGATGGAAAGCAAGGACAGTTTGGGCACAAGGGAAGGTATCTTTGTCACCTGTCAAATCCCTCTTCTGTTTCCTCTTTGCCTCCTTGCACTTGTGGCCGCCCTAAGATGGGACTGAAACTATTGTCTGCTACCTGCCCAAAGGTATGCAAGAGTCTGAAAAGGTCTTGAAGGTTTAAAGGACTTCTTCCACAGAGGTAGCAGTCATTTTAATTAGGTACGGGGACGTGTTTGAAATGGGTCAGTTTCTTAAGAACTTTTGTTGGCAGTCTGCCTAGAAGCTGGTCTTTCCTGCACCACATCATAGGGTGGCCCCTCCTGGGAAGCGGGACCTGAACAATAACACACAGAGAATTATTGATGGCCAGTATGGATCCTGTGGTTATTGGAGCCTGGGGTAAATGTTTCGTAGTCATTGACTTGGCAGTTGCTTGGGCAAGCTTGTGGTATTAAAGGACCCAAAGACCTTAGACTTCCTTTAAGGGGGCAGGTGCCAAAGACAAATCACTACCTTGAGAAATGATGCAAAAAGCACAGTTAGAGGCACAGATTCGTTATCTGGTTAGGGTTGCGCAGGATAAATTGAGCCAAGTGAACCTAAATGAAAGATATCACGGACAACGTGTGTGAGATTCAAACAAAGAGTTATCAACTTTCATAACTAGCCAGAGATATTTCTCAGAAGTGTAATTCAGGTGAGATTTTGCAGATACAAAGACAGACAGAGAGAGAGAGAGAGAGAATTATAGCAGCAACACCACCCAACCCAGATAGGGCAGAAACTCCAAGTAATGCAAGCTTAGTGTGAGAAAATCCGAGGGGTGATACCTTTCTGGAGGTGGGGCAAGTCTGTTTGAAGAACAACCGATAACCCAAAGACGAACATGCTGCAGAGGAGGTAATTTTTAGGTGACACTAACACTACTGCTATGCACATGTGATTATTTTGGGCGTCTATTTAATACAGCTGTAGTTCGAAGATGGCAAATGCATCCCTCGTGTCTCCCCCCTCCACCGTTCAGAGCCCTCCGTGAACCTCCCTGATAGACCACACCACCACCAGACATGAAAATGGCCTCAGAGCCATTCTCTACGCAGGATTCGGTGATGCGGGTTGGCGTGGGAGGGGAGATCTATTTGCAGTCTCTACGGTGTTTTCGGTCTTTTCCATATGTTTGTTTGCAAAGCGACAAATAAGAACGCGCTATTCAGGGTTGTTAAGAGAGAAACTCCTAAACTGGGCGTCAGGGTACTACGTTCCTGGACAAAGTTTCGCAGCACCCAACACTGCACTGCCATGTTATCTGTGTTCACAAAAATGGCACCAAGATGGAACTATCCTGGGAAGAGTGAGTGGATATCACCTTTCAGTGCGTGTGAGAGAGAAAGAGACAGAGAGGAGCTCTGAGCCTGGGGGATGGAGGCGCTACAGTTTTTTGGTTTTGTCTTGTTTTTTTTTCAGCCCACTGCAATTCTAACTCCTGCCTCCTTGGTTTCTGCTATTTCACCTCAACACCAGCTCCTGTTTTCTTTGGAGGATATAATGGGATCCAGGGTCAGCCCAGCCATGGGGGACTCTGGTCCCCAGGCCCATCAGCTTCTTTCGGGTGCTGAATAATAGCAGAAATGTACAAAAGTTCATCTAGGAACTTGTGTAGTTCTGTGTCACGTAACTTCGGTGAGAAGAGGGACAAGGTAGCCTCACATAAGCGCGTGGGTGCAAATATGGGACGCGGCCGTGTCCCAGGGTCCTACGATGGGATCTTTACCTTAGGGAAGACTGTTTCCCTGTAGCTCACCCACTGCTTCCTGATGTTGCCCTTTTCTTCTTTCTCTCTCAACAGACCATAATATGGCTCTGAGAGCTACCTTATTTATTGAAAGAATTCGGGGGCTTTTTTCCTTTACTAAACTTGGAAGTTGAAAGTTACAGTTTATCATTTGGTAGGCCTAATATACAACTCTTCCCATTCACCTCGGAGTCAGTAAAGAACCCAACCTCTCGCAAAATTGATAGAAAATTTAGCAAACTGTGTACTAGGAAGGTTCGTTAGTTGTTTCGGTTTGCTCCTCCTCCCCACCCCCCCCCCCACCCCCCGCCTTTTAAGTTTCTTGGTACCTTTTCTGTTTTCAATCTAGGAAGTTGAAATACTAAGCCTCACATAAATGCAAACAAAGTGTTCAGAGCGCGGTCCGTGAATTATTTCTTTTCATGCCCCAAACATCAGTCTCATTGGCCACAGTCTTACACACTCATAGCAATAACTGAGGTCAGGATTCAATTCTTGAGCAGAGAAGGACGCTAACAAGTTAGGGAAGAAAGAAATATTCTATTTGTACAGTGAACACAACAGCCATAACTTCTTCCGGGTGAACACAACAGCCATAACTTCTTCCGGGTGAACACAACAGCCATAACGACCATTTAGAAAGCCTCCACTATGTGTTAGGCATCGCAGTGCAAGAGGGTATCCTTTTAACTCTTGCCATAGCTTGGTGAGAGTGGACGTTGTTTTCTTAATAATACAGGTAAGAATATCAAGCCTTTAAGAATTGAATTAGCTTGTTAAAGTTCATACTGCTAGAAAATGGCTAAGAATGCATGCTCCCAGAATCCTCTTCTTATATCTACATGAATAAACTTGGCTATTGATCAATGGATCTTCTTAATGACGGTTATTTCCCCCAGCCTGCCCCGCCCCCCCAGTTTACAAAGCTGTCATATACATCGTTTCCTCTTATTCAAGCCTCACAACAATTCTGTGAGGAAGTGATTGTAATCCCACCGCACAATGAAAAAACTAAGGCCCAAATTCAGGAAACTGTGAAAGCAAATCAATCCTAGCGGCGTTTGTGAGTATACTCTGGCTAAGCACTGATGCTCTATTTCCTAAGGGGAAGCTGATTGAACAGGCTCCTCTCCAGAGGGGATTCTGATTTATCAGATAGGAGCAAAATAAAAATAAGTTTAATAGTCTCCACAGCCTATAAATTCAGTGAGAAGGAAGGAGAGAGTCCCAGGCCAAAGGAGAGCAAGGATTGCTGTTTTCAGCAAGCTGGGCCGGGGCACACGTAAGGCTGGAGTGTGTGTGCGCGCGCGTGTGCACATCAGCGTTATCCTGGCAGCCTGAGTGCCTGAAGAGTGCCAAGGTCTTTCTTATCCCATCAGGACAAGGAAAGGCAAACTTATCGGTGGGTTATTGCCAGGACCAGAGTGTGCTTCTTATCGTCTCAGACTCTGTGGTTGAGAGAGACTCATCATCTTCTTCCGGGGCCAAATTGGACCTTGCCAAGAGCATCCAGACATTTAAGATACAGCGTTCACCTACAGATATCCACCAGACCCAATGGTCTCCCCCCCAAACCTTCACACTCTCTCAATTCAAACATGGCGTCACGCTTACCTTCAAACTCTGCATTGTGACGAAATTGAAGGCTTTTTTCATAACTCAGGGCCTGTGGGCTACAGCTATGTTAGGGAACTGCCTGTGGGCCAAAGAGAAAAATACTCATTATAAGGTGGCTTTTGCCAGAGGCTTTTTCTCTGAGAACAATTATCAATAAATCCAAACAAAGAGGCCACCCCGGAATCCGCCCATGGCGCACGTGGTCACTGTACTCTTTCCTTTTGGGTGTTATTGATTCTGGGCAATCTCTTCAAATCCCTGGGCCATAGTGTTCCTCTTTATGATATCACAAGAACTCGCCCATGGAATAGGAGATCTCCACAAATCTGTATTTACGCCAAGGGTCAAAGTGGTCAAGGTAACGTTGCATTGGGGCTGCGCTGAAATAATTAGACAAGTGTAGTAGTTTTTTCCTGGCCTCTGTCCCTTCCCTGTGACGCTGTACGGTTGTTTAAGGAATCGGCTCCGTGTGATGGTCCTTAAAGCCAGAGGTATTGTCTGTGCCGCGTCTCAGACACATGTTTCCACTTGACACGGTCTTGGTTGGAGGGAGGGGCAGGCCTGAGTGTGGCAGCCCGGGTGTTATTGTTAGTACCGTCTGGGTCAGCACGGGCTGCGTGTCAGCTTGTTTGTCACATGTCACTGAGCCTCACCGGGCAACCACTGGGATAATAGCCCTAATCCAGCCCCACAGAGAAAGCTGGAACCCTCCGGGAGCTGAGTGCCTTTTCTCTCTCTGTCTAACTGCAACTAGGCGTTTACATCCCAAGTCAGCTTTTACCTAAACACATTCTATTTTTAGAAAAAGGAAGAGAGGCATCCTTGAAGGGTTACCACCAGTGAACGGTTAGGAACTTAAGAGATTTTCCCCCCTAACGTATTTTAGAGTTTAGGAAAACCTAGAAATGAGATACCCTTAAAAAAAAAAAAAACAAACCAAGTTTCTCTCTATGCTCCCAAATCATCTTTGTATCTTAAAAAAAAAAAAAAAGTGTGTGCAATCTTCAAGGGAAGGAGAATATATATACCACTGCTGACTTCCTATTTCTAAAGATAGTATCCTAATATCTATAAATCAAACTCACTACTTTGACTTTATATAGCAAAAGACAGAGCTTTGAAATACTGCAGTTCTGAGCCCATCTGCAATCCCCTCTTCTCATCATTTTTAGCTTTCCTAAAGTATAGAGACCTTTGGAATCCTGAATTTGGGACTCACTTTTTTTTTTTGGAAGCCTGGTTAAGTTTACCTTTGCCTCATCTGTATGTAGCAAGTAGAATTTACGAAGTAAGAGGATAGTAAAAACTCATTTTGGGATGATTGCTTCATTTACTAAAGAAAGGGTGTTTTCATCACATTTTAAACAATTGTAACATCATTTGTTTGAAGGCAAACAGTGAACAGATTACAAAGCAGTATTTCAGATAAGGGTTTTTTTGGTTGTTGTTTTTTTTTTTTTTTTTTGAGCTTCCTCGAAAATACCAAAACTTTTAAAATCCTATAATTTCTCCCTAATTCACACTAGGCTTCCCTCCATTTATTCCAAATGGGTGAGATTTTACTGAGCACTGAAAATGGGACACTCCTGGGAGAATTCCCAATTAGGGTAAAGCCTTGGCTAGCTATGTGGGTTAGCCAGATGGTATAGCAGAGGTGGACCCTACATTCATGATCTCATTCATTTGGGCCGTAAATATTTTTAGCACCTCCAGGCACTGTGGTATGTGAAGATAATAGAAAATAGAATATACACTTTGCCTGGACTTGGCTCCACAGCACTCATAGTCCAACAGAGACAAGTTCTCTTCCAATACATGTCCGATGGGTGTTATCAACTGAGCGGTGTCCCACCAATTTTCGTGCTGAAGCCTGAACCCCCAATGGACTGTTTTTGAGATCGGGCCTTTAAGGAGGTGAGGAAAGCTAAGTGAGGGCCTAAGAGTGGGGCCCTCATCCTACAGGACTGATGTCCTTATGAGAAAGAGAGACACCAGCGCATTCTCTGCATTCACGCACAGAGGAAAGGCCACGTGAGGGCACAGCAAGAAGGCAGCCGTCTGGAAGCCAAGGAGGGAGTCCTCACCAGAAACCAACAGTGATGGCACCTTGATGTTGGACATCTAGCCTCCAAAACTGTGAGAAAATAAGCCTCTATTTTCCCAGTCTATAGGATTCTGTTATGGCAGCCCAGACAAATTCAACAGGAGAAGTGTGGGGTTCTTGGGGGGTATAGGGTAGGGACCCCACAACCACATCTGAAGCAGCAGTGTCTGAGTTGAGACCTGGAACAGCAGCAGGAGTTGGGGAGGGGAGACGAAGGGGGGGAATGTTTCATGTGGCGGTTGCAACGTAGGTGAAGCCAGAGGTAAGGAGAGTACAGCCTGAGATGTGACACAGAGGAAGAGGAAGTTCAGTAACCTGGAGCATAGGGGGCAAGGGTGCAGGTTCCGGAACAGAGGAAGCTCTGTAGGTCCTGAAGCACTTAGAGCAGGATTTCTCACAAATGTTCAACGCAATCCAACTCCTCTTTTCTCTTGAGATTCCTCTTTTCCCCTTTGTTCTTTGGTAGCACCCTGTTCTGGTTTCCCTTCTACTTCATTGGTCACTCTGAGTCTCTTTGATAGCTTCTCCCCTGCTCAACTTCTAAATATCTGAGTGCCCCACGGCACCATTTTGAGCTCTCTGCTCTTTTTACAATCCTTCCGATGTGGTTTCGTCTAGTCACGTGACTCTAAGTAACATCTATATGCCTAGGACCTTCAAATATCTATCTCCTCCCCTTATCTCTATTTCCAAATATAGATTCACATGTCCATTTGTTTCCTTCATAGCTCCCTTTAGTTGTTCAAGAAGCAACTCAAACATAATATTCGATTAGATAGGATGTTAGTAGCTGTGAGCAACAGAAGACCCCAACTTAAATGGTTTAAATAGCCAGGGCATTCTTAGAGTATGGTTCCTGACCTGGTGGGCCATAGAGATGGTGCTGTATGAGAGGGGAAAGCCTTTCCTGCACTCACTTAGGTGGAGTGACTGAGCCCTGCAAATTAAGTTGACAAAAAGACAGATTAACAGGAGAAAAAAAAAATGATTTACACACACAACGTGGATACACGGAGGCATGCTTGATGAGGAGTTACTTAAAGGGGTTAGAATTGGGGCTCATACACCTTAATAGGGGAAAAAGAGGGAGAAAACGTTTCTATGGAAACAAAGAGTTTTTTTTTTTAGGATGACAAAGTTTTAGGAGAACAAGAGAGATTTGTGATTTGTGATGCTGGTCTATATAGGAATGATGCTGTATATACACTCTTTCAGGGCCATAAAATTTCCCTAGAGAGAGGATTTATGGTAGGTTTACTCTTGGTCTCTGTTCCAGGAACAGACCCACCCCAATGAGGGAATTTATGGTGGCCTGATTTTCTAGGAATTTCTGCTTTTCATCAGATAAGCTCCATGAAGCCACCATTCTGCATCTGTTGAATTTCAAATGTCTTCAGTTTAAAACAATTCTGATATCAAAATGGCATATTTGGGGGTGGCATTTCTTGGTCTCTGGCATTACTGCATTCTTTCAGTTGGTCAGTTACACAAAGCGGTCAATCCAGTATTCTGAATGAGGTTTTAGGCTAATTCTAGAATTACAAGTCACTGAAGGGCCTCGGTTGGTAGGATTCTTAGCTGTAACCCAGCTACTTTTACCATTCTGTTCACCATCCGATTTAAATTCAAGTCGAGAGACTCGTTTGAGGTCTATGAGTGCCTATCTTGGCCTTCGCCCTACAGTTGTTTCCTTCCATTCTGACCTTGAGCTCATCATGAGACTTGCGTTAGCCGGTGGACCGTTAGCAAACGTACCACAGCCAGTGGCTTCAAAACTTCTTACATGTGGGGATTTACTTTTTTCCTCTCTTCAACCCACATCATCACCATGAGAATGAACCCAGGCTAGCCTGGTAGAGATAGAGGGGAGTTCTCCTAGCTCAGGCCATACTAGGGCAGCCCGCTTCCTGACGATTAACCAGTCAACCACAGATGCATGTGTATGCCCAGCTAAAATCAGCTAAGTCAAGCTCGAATCAGCAGAACTCCCCAGCCAATCAGATTCATAATAAAAGACAAGTGCAAGCAATTTTAAGCCACTAGCATTAGAGGTGGGTTCTTATGTAACAAAGCCTAATTCGTATGCATGGAGAAGTCCTAACTTTTTGAATAGGGAAGATGAGGGGACACTTTAAGACAGGGGGGAATAGGAATAGGGTTCCCCTAAACCAGGTCTTCCAAATCTGGCCATTTTTATTCCCAGATTTCCTGAGATGGGAAATTTTCAGACTGGGCATTCTTCCCACAGAACATATTGCCGTGGCCCTTGGGGAGTAGTTCTCTGATAGGCAGAATTATATCATTGTCAACTTCTCATCCCTAGGTGTGGAAGACTGTAGTGCAGCGTGGAAGAAGTCTGGTCACTGTTTTGAGACGTGTGGAGTCTATTAGAAGAGGCCGCACAAGGCTGTCCCATTAGCACAGGAGATAGGGTCTTTAAATGGGAGCAATCACGGCAGTATACGGAATGGCCCCCGTGGAGAGGGATTTCCAGCAAGTTCTTTGGTGTTAGCTTTTCTGTCTTCTTCAGATCCTGAGGTTATGGGCAAGCCTCCAGCCAGAGCTTCACACAATGGTTGGTGACTGCTCCCAGGCCACAGTGGTGCCCTTCATTTGCCAAAGGATTGCCACCAACCCCTAGTTGCCCACTAATCTTTACCCTCTGTTTCCTCCACTGTGTCCTTGGACACGCTATCAAACTTTAACATCCAGCTTGGTGTCTTCTGTTATTTTTCTGTAGGAGGTCGGGTGCCATCATTTAGACATCTCTTGACACACACATAGAGGTCACACAGAGAGGCCCTCAGGAAGCAAACAACGCACATTTCCAGTATGCTTGATACAGCTCTCATTGGTTGAGTGGCTGCAGCATGGTGGGAAGGTGCTCACTGATAGACGGATCTGCCAGGCTGGATCTCAGGGCGTGAGAAGATAGGATAGTTCTCAGAGTATCAGGAAAGTATATATCAATGTCATGCACTGTATTACTCCACGAGGTGACTATTTCAAAGTTCAGTAGTGCTATAACAAATGTAGCTTACTGGCTAAGCATGCAGCCTTTGGAATCAGACACACCTGGATGCATATTAGGATTTGTGATTCACTAGTGCTGTCATTGTGCTCTGCACCACTGGACAATGAATAACGCCCATCGCCCAGAGATGTTGAAAGGATTAAGTGAGATACAGCATGTAAAATCCCCAACAGTACTCAATATCTAGTAAGCACTCAGTGTAGGTGATGATAATGATGACGATTACTTAATGTTCCTCAAAATATATTCCACCTAGGAATGGTGTACTTGGGTATGTTAACAACTATAATGTGGGGGAAAAGTTTCAGAGGTCACAGAGAATATCAACGTGCTCACAGCTCTGTGGGGTTGTGCAGTAAAGTGGTCAGTAGAGTTTTGTGTAACCCACCTTGTCCCAAGTTTATTTGAAGACGGAATCTATT